AGTTGAGGAATAGGGACTTCTAAATTATTGCTATACTACTAAGGGTAAAGCAATAAAAATCTCTCAACCATGAGAAAACTTAGAAAAAGGAAAAATAGTTGGTTGAAGGTGAAGAAAAATCAAGAAAAAAAAAAGAGAGTTGTGGTTATAAAGGCAAAATTACTTAAAAGGTATGTCATGTTGATGGTAGAAGCATTCCATGTTTAAAAATGTTTATCAAAAGCTTTATTCTTGAATGTTGATGTGGTTAGGATTCTCTCGTGCTATTGTTGACCTTGTAAGTTTCTTATGATCCACTACCTAAGATCGAAATTGAGTGGTATTCTTTGGTTTTCATTCAGTTGTATGATTGTGAGTAGTGTATTCCTGGGATAAGCAAAATTCAAGTGTGGGGTATTTCTAATGACACACAATTTATAGTATTTATCACTCCCATATTTGATACATTTTCTCCTTCTATTAATGCATATTTCATATGGAATTCATAAATATTTTACTAATGTGCTTCTGATAGACCTTGAATGTGTTTCTGTACTATTTGATGCATTTATGGTGTTGCTTTATTCCTTTCAAGATTATAAACCATTCAAGAAAAATATGAATCACCAAGGGACCTAACGGATTAGAATCACAATGATAATACAAACTCATGGGCTCAAACTGAGATGGATTTGGACATCAGATGCTCACTTTTTGGCCAGACAAGCAGAACTGGTAGAACAACAAACCGAACTTGAACCAATGCCCATGAAAAATTCTATCAGTAACCGTTGCTCAACAAATTGGAAGTGGATTCAATTGGGCCAAGAACTAGCCAACCTAAGTGAAAGGAGAGTGTCGGCCCAAGCAACGGTGGCCACCTCTGCTAGCCCTAATTCGCCTTGCAAACTTCCTTTGCAAGCTACTTTATCTGGAATTCGAAAAAATTCGAGTTCAAGCAGTACAAGGAAGATTTTGGACGACTTTAGGAGGAAAAAGACTAAAAACCCCTTTGTTACTAGTATAAATAGAGGCACATGCCTAGAGTTTCGGACACCACCTTTTACCAGCACTCTACCCTATGGGCATGGGAAGCAATCCATAGAAGAGGAGGAAAAGTCCTACTGGATCTCGACTAGGAAGAATTCATCATCGATGCCTATATCAATTGTGATCTCATTCCACTCTCTTTTGTGTTTCAATTCGATATGTTTAGGGGTGTGAATTCTATAATGATTGTGTATTACTATCTATGAGTTAATAAGGTGCTTATCTCGTTTTAAGCTATGGTCATCGTCATCGAGGCTTGTTCCTTTAGATGCTTATCTCTTGTGTATGATCGTTGATGCTTTGTTTCATATGATGTTTTAATCCATTCTATGTGTGTGACCCTACTATGATGTTACTAGTATAGTTTATACTACTATTATTGGAAACTAATCTCATGTAGTAGGCATCCTTCTTAGGCATGTATATGAGGATTAGCTACCCTTCTATGCATGACTAAGGATGATGCTTGCCTCTTAAACCATCAATGTTATAGACTATAATTATGGTTCATAGCCTATAATTAACAATATGATATTCTAACTTTCTTGTTCTTCATTGATTAGGCAATGACATGAAGCGAAAGCACGCATTAGATAGTCAAATCTCTATCGCAAGAAGCGTCTGCATGGGTAGAGAGTGCCCTTAGAGGAAGGGATAGGGCGTCACAGTAGATGATGCATAGATGCATCTTATTGAGGAGATTGTATGTGTGGACATCTATAAGGAGCTACCTAACCATTACTTTTCTTGCGTGCATCTTTGTTTGATGGTTTCTTCCATTAATAGAGTAGTACACGGGTAGAGGGAAACTCAACTCACCAAGGTTTACTTTCTTGCAATGCATGTATTGAACTCAATTGGTTAGGTTTGAGTAATTACTAGTGAAAAAGCTTGTGGAATAAGGCCCTAGACACATCTAGGAATTTATCTCTTGACTACTACATCACTCAAGTTCATTTATCATGATAGCAACTCGTTGCTATCGGGTTAGGGTTTGCTTGTAGCTCACAAGCGAGAGAACGACGTAAAGTTTCGAAAGACTGTTTTAGGTTTATTTGATTGATGAATCGGACTAATGTCGTGATAACAATATATAGGCGTCTAAACCTAATACGTAACCCTAGATAACCTGCACTCTATTAACATAGCCGAACCCCTCTCACTCTCCTAGGCACTCTATTAACCTAAAGATCATGCAAGAGATAGTTCAAGAAGGAGGAGCATCAAGTTCATCTATCTTGAAGACCAAGGAATGAACATCTAGCTCAGGAGAAGAAGATCCCTCAAGCCCCACCAATTTCAAGCAAAGCTTGGGAAAGGAGGACAAGATCGATGAAGACAACTTTGATTCGGAGGAAGAAAGAGCATCTTCAATTTCTTCAATACTAATGATGGGTGGAGAAGGACAAAGAAAAGTGTCCATAGAAATAAGAACTCAACTTATCCAGATGGTGTAACAAACAGGAAGATTTTGAGAAAGGAATGATGATGACCCAGTGCAACACTTGAAGACATTCTTAGAGATCGTCAATTCCATACTAGGAGGTGATGCTACCAACGATGGAATTCGGCTACGACTTTTCCCGTTCTCTCGTGGAGGAGGAGCAAAGCAATGGCTCGACTACCATCCACCAGGAAACTTCACCACATGGGAGACCCTTGCACAAGCATTCATCGAGGAGTACTTTCCACCACGGAAGATGGAGGAGCTCAAAGATGAGATTACTCGATTTCAACATAATGAAGGAGCGAGTTGTTACGATGCTTGGAGGAGATTCCAGGTGTATTGGTCGAACCCTCATGCGAGTCATGTCAATTGTTTGCACAACCTAACTAACTACCCCATTTCGAGCCAAGTATAACCCGAAATGGCGTTGCTAATATAGTGGCAACCAAGGTCGTATTTCACAGGTTTTGATACGCTAGGTTACTTCTCATGTTGTTGATATATAGTCGATTGGTTTAGTTTGGTTTTTGGAGGTCGATTGAAAATACAGGTGGAGAAAGCAAGGATACTAAGCAGGTACTTTGGGGTAATTCCCTCTCCCTAAATTTAGGTTTGTCACGCAAATGGTTGATTATGTTGAGTTTGCAGGATAAGGTAAGGAACTCAGTCAACTGAGGGTTTCAATGATTACTTCCCTCCTCCTAGTACAGTCCTAGAGAACCATTGTCACCTTAGTCAAAGCTCACGTTCTAAGGAATGACCACTAGTTCTTCTCAATGGGTTCAACCTATCATGCACACTACAGCGATGGATCAATGACGCTTGCATCATCTCTAACGTTGTCTCAGGAAGGCAGTCCTCTAGTAGGGGTACGGTCACCACGTCCACTAAAAATAACACTAAGATCATTCATCTATCTTTAATTAGCCTTAAGGAGCTCAAATCCATTCTAACCATAAAACTTCCACCTAGTTCTGAGACACAGTTGTAGGATAGTATAGAAGAGTTGGAGAGACAAGCCCCAACATAATTAGGTATAAATGAAGCATATAATCACTGAAATAAACAAATCTATATACAAACCCTAACACAATCACATCTACATTCAAAACATAATTCTAGGGTTTGGGGATTTTAACCCCTAGTACATTAGAGGCAATTCTCAAAATTGATTATCAACGAGCGACACGCAACTACACGAGATGAGCGAAGAGTAACTTTGAAAGCGCGAAAGATAAACGACGGTTATGACTAAGGTTGTGAATTACGACAAGTCGACAACTATGGAGAGCATATCGAGCAGAGGAAATCAAGATGAGAGAGAAAGTTGAAAATGAAAAAGGGAGGGACAATTGTTTACACAAGCAACTTCCCTTTTAATCTTAATTTCAAATTTGTTGTAATTTACTAAACTGTCCATAATGAATGAAGTTGATACAATCAGTGTTGTTAAGATCAAACCGGATTGGCCAGTCGACCAGCAAAACTGAGACTTCAGTCGGACTCGTATCAAAGAAAGGGCCAATAGAATTGAGCGTACCCACAAGCAGCCAAAATGATTAGCCGCTCTAATCGTCGGCCCACTCAATTTTTAGCTCAACCTAGATTAACACACAATCAACTCGAATCATTTGTAACTCTAATCCTTAGAGCAACAAACTATTCCAAAGCATGACATCCATCGCCCAATTTACTTACTGACAGCAACTAACATGTCACATATCCGTCTCCAACATGACAAATTCTTTGTTGCACAATGACTTACAACAACCTCGCAAAGTTGAAAATCAATGGGGAAAAACAACCAATCTAGCAACCTAATCAAGTTTATCATAATTGACAGCACAACAAAAAAACAGGAAAAAAACAGTGACATCTAATGCAATCAACCTGGCACAACATCTAATGATATCATTAGTGAGGCAACAAGAAAAAAGAATCAATGACTGTACAAGAATTTCAACCTAATCGACCATGCTACCAAGGGTTACCATAATAAACAACATTCACTTTAATTCCTGATGCAAAAACAAGGAACAAAGAGAGTCCAATCTCCGATCTTACATATCCAACTCCAACATCGAAATGTACAATACATTGCAACCAAGTATTCAGCAACCTCAGTTGCACATCATTAACGGGAGAGTTAATCTGCTAACTTGAAGATTCGTTAGCAGGTACTAACGGATATCCAAAATACATGAACTAGTATCTAAGTACCAAAGTATCTAGAGATCACAGACTAGTATTCAAGGTTTGCTAACTGATATCCACCATGAATCAACTATTATCCCAAATTCACAAACTAATATCTAGACAACACAGAATAATATCCATACAACACATAATTAGTATCCAGATAACACATAAAAGTATCCAGATAACACAAGAGTATCAATATTGAATAAGAGTATCAATGTTGAATACTAGTTGGTTGATTGTGAATATTAGTTGGTATCTGCTATCTGGATACTAGTTTTTGAGTTTTGAATACTAGTAAAATCAACAGACTTGATACTTGTTCATACATTTTGAATATTAATTAGCATATACTAACTGCATAACATAACTAGGCTGTCATTAACAGGTCACAGCAAGCATAAAATTTGTGGAAAAAAGCAATGGAAATAATTAAACCAAACTAGTCACCTAAGCACAAACCCTCAAATAATAAAAGGTTCAGATAAGAGGAAATCATGGGCAGCTTTTCAATCCACATTGCCCAGTTGGCTAAATAAAAATGAACCCAATTCAATCGCAGTCTGAAGTCATCTAACTTGGCCCATCATCGAACATCCAGAATCACAAACCAGCAACACCAAAATTGTCACTGTGGTAAGCAGATTTGTAACACAGATCTAGCTTTGCATGAACTTGAAACCTCATTCATAGCAAAATCCATCAAAACATTGGTCGATGAGTGATAAAACATTTATAATAAGAAAAGGAAATAGATCGATTCTCCCAACAGTTTCAACATTGTGTAGATGAGAAATTTGAAAAAAGCCCTAAAGAAAGAAGACCTCTAGCTCTAGGCAGTGAGGACGACAGCTCCACCGGCTTCCTTAATCTTCTTCTCAGCTGTCTTGGACACGAGCTTAGCCTTCACAACGATGGGCTGATTTTCAGGCAAAACCCCCTTCCCAAGGACCTTGAAGTAGCCAAACTGAGTGACATCAATCATCGGAGCGCCATCCTTTCCTGCCTTATCCTTCACCTCCTGGGGAATCATGGACCAGAGCTTGTCGATGTTGACGATGGGGCAATGGAACCTGTTCTTGAGCTTGTGGAAATACCTCATACCGACTTTCCCGAAGTAACCGGGATGATACTTGTCGAAGAGGATCCTGTGGTGGTGCATACCTCCGGCGTTACCACGACCACCGGGATGCTTCCTGTGTTTTCCGATACGGCCGTGCCCGGCACTGACGTGGCCTCTCTTCTTGCGGTTCTTCTTGAAGCGGGTCGTCATATCCGCAAGCGAGAGTGGGTTGTGCGAAGGGGTATGGTGAAGGCGGCAGCTGCGAAGAGAGTTAGTCCTAGGGTTTCAGAGTTACAGTATTTATATATGATGGGAGGAGGACAGGAAGTCTTGGGGTGGGTTTCGGTTTATTAGGGTTTTAGGGCTTCTGTTAAGTGCTAAATCGGAGGTGGGGTGAGAATTGGGCTAAAAAGTTTTGTCAGCTGGCCTTGAGCAAGAAATTCTTTTTGTGTATCGGCTTTGCATTGGGCCTTTAGTTTTTTTTTCTTTTCGTTGAATAGCCTTTAGTTTTAAGAAAGCCCATGAACAAGAAAATAACGGTTACATTCCCTATGTTTGGTCCGGGTTTTAGAAGTACTTTTCGAGTTCAAAAGCTGAAGCAGAATCAAACATCTCTAAAATCTCGGCTTTTGAAAAGCCAAAAAATGCTTTTGTATAACATAAAAGCAGAAGCTCCGATAACATAAACGTAAAATTGACTAATATTTTGATACATTACAAAACTTTTGGCTAATATTTAGTATTTTGATAGATTTGGTGACCCACCCCGAATACCACAATAAAAATCTCAATCAATGCCCAAGTATAAACCTTAATTGGGTGCAATATAGGGCAAGTATGTTTTAAAAGTCAAACCCGGGTCGGCCATGTTACCACTACTTTGATTATTTGAAACATTATCTAGCAATTTGTTTTTGGTTGAAGCTACGATTTAAACTAAAGCGATTGGAAAAGTAAAGTGTAAGAACACTAGTTGAGAAGACTTCGCCCGGGTGTTGTTCCCCCTAGCTAGTTATAAAGGTGAGTTAAACCGAATGAAAGTGCATGCTGAAGGTGGTTGCTAACCGTAGGGAAGCGCAACAAGTGAATTGGGTTCAGTCTCTTGTCTTGATCAATTGGCTAAGGGGTTACAAGCAAAGCTACCTAGGTGACTCTCTTAGCCAAATCGGCCAAGAGACACAAGTAAAGCTACCTAGGTAACTCTCCTAATCGTCTAAGGGTTGCCAAGGCTTCACTCTCGAATCAAAATTCGGACGGCTAAATCGCAACCAACACAAGGTTCTTAGACATAGTAAGAGGTGTGCCCTAATTTTCCTTAGGTAGGTGACTCAATTAGGCCAAGGAACCTCAGCTTTTGAAAGCCTTTTCATAAGAAGGGAGTTTCCCTCTACCTAGGTCAAATTGGCAAAGTAGTTGAAAATGGAAAACACAACACAACATCCATGAAAATACCTCCATACTTACATTCAAACACCACCATACACAAATCATTCAATTCATACAAACTTTCACATGTTTTTAGCTAGGGTTCACAAACACCCAAGTTAAATAAAGGACTACTCCATGCTAGGTAGAAGGAATACACAAAGGAGAGAAGAGAAAACCATCTTCGAGATGAATGCTTTCTTCCTTTTGTGTGGGGATCAACCTTGAAGGTGGAAATTCCCAAAACCTTGAGCTTGGATGAAACCCTAGCATCCTTCCTCTTCCTTGCTCGTCACTTTCTGTCTCTAGAAGTCATGAAGAAGAAGAAGTTATCTCACTAGGCTCTCCCTTTCTTCCTTCAGCTCAACTCTCTTTAAATATCTAGATCGAAGGCATTTCACGGTCCCAGTTCACGACCGTGAACATTGGCTGGGAATCGTGATCTTTAGCAAAGGTGCACCATTTCACTAAGGCACTTCATGGTCCAAGACGAGTGTTCACGGTCCAGCGAATGTGAACCAGTCGAGGTCCAGTGAGGTGTGCAAAAACCTGCTGGAACTATTGCGTATCACGGTCGGGGCTCAATCTTCACGGTCTTGGAGGCCGTGAACTGATGGCTGCCACTGTGATCAGCCTTTGTTCTCTCCTTTTGTCCTGTTTTTGCTCCTTTGCATCCAACTTTCGTTCCCGGGGTTGATTTACCTGCTAGGATCTTAAACATAGGGAAAAAAGTACGACCTAGCATAAAGCCAAACCCTATTGGGTGAAATCGCCTCAAACGTCTAAGGAAAAAGGGGGTAAAATGTGTGCATTTTGACCCGAATCACTCCCCCACACTTAGACGTTTGCTTGTCCCCAAGCAAACCAATTCCAAACAAGGTAATATCTCAACCTATGGGGACATATCAAAGGGCTCAAAGTGGGTAAATCTCAATGGCTATTGAACCTCAACACATGAATCGTCACAAGCAATATAGCTATCCACCACAAACGACATTTGAATGCTTTAATAACGTGCAAATGAAAAGTTCTCACCCTGTTCATAAATCAAAACAAGTCTCGACCGGGCTACTCATCAACCACAACTAACCATCCAAAGAACTCAAGTCCAAGGAACAACCGAATTTGCAACATAGGTCCTCACTAGGATAAGATATGAACATGCAAAATGAGGATGAATCACTCACTCCCGAACAGTGGGGTCAGGACCTTTTGGTGCACAACCTTTTGGTTCACAATCATCAACACTCAACCCCATCGTCTCTCCACCACGGCGACAACCATACTAGAGTCCACGGGATAGTTGTCGTCATTAACTTGTCCGGAGGTCTTAGACACTGGTTCAAATGATTGGCAATTGTCTTGGACATGCGGAAAAGGCCTTTTTGGGTGGTGGCAAGCAAAGCATGAGGTTCTACATCTCCAACCTAATACACAAGGTTCTATGGTTTTAACTAGAATATTCGCTACGAACAAAGGCCCCTAGCGTCGGCCAAAAACCACACTACCCTTCTTCCAAACCACTACCAATCACGAACTACATTCAAGCACACTTCTTTGCCCTATCTTGCTATCCACAATTCAATCATAATAATGAGGGAGGTCAACAAACAATTAGGCGTTTCAATGGCTTGAGTGCCAAGAAACCCTTTATAGAGCATGCACATCATTTCCTCATGGCAACTTTTTATCTTTATTGTAACACCCTATCCTATACGTATTACCTAATCATATTGTTCATACAAGTGCAGCGGAATTAAACTTGGGTGTTACATTAATTATCAAAATTTACCTAAATAAAATTTCGACATGAATTACTCGCGTAATGGACTAACAGTTCTTGCAACTTAACCTGCAAAATAATTCATCGCAAACATATATACTCACAACCATATGCATTGGCTTTTCTTAGCCATAGTCACACTTTTCATACTTCCTAACTGCATACCATACTTATACATACCATAATCGTCACAACTTACACAGTTACACAACATATACACATATCATTAACTTTCCACACCTGTGGATATCTCACACTAGATCAGAAGCTAGTATGCACATGAAAAACGTTCTCAAAACATTCTTTTACAAAAAGGTGTGGATCACTGGCCAAAATCCCGAGTAGTAGTCCAAGCACAGAATAGTTGAAGACCATACCTCATCCTGGCTTCAACCCTAGCTCCTCCCCCACCTAACACTTATCTACTGCTGCTGCTGATGATCTGCTTACACATAGCATAAGCAGAGAAGAAGAATAAAAGAGGGTCAGCTCATAGCTGAGTGAGATAATCATAGCATCATGAGTTCATAACAGAGCATACCCCTACCATACATCTAGCAAACAAGCCAAAACACTAGGATCGGACCTCAGCCATCCTCATATCCCAATAGGCAAAAGACTCAACCACCTTGACTTATGCATATGCATCTTATCATGTTTTACTTATAGGCGCCTGGCTACTCCCATGCTAATAACTCTCCCGGGAAACATACCCCACATCCCGTCGGATGTAGTCATACATACCCCAACATCCCGTCGGATGTGGTCATACATACCCCACACCACTATGGGTGTAGTCATACCCCGACACCGCTTTGGGTGTGGTCATATCTCGTAAGAATTCTTCAGTCACCACCACATGAGAGGTGTGACTATCATACATATCATAATAGAGTAATAGCATAGGGAGCCCTAATTACTATGTAGTTGACCGTGAGACCACAACACTCATATTTGGTATCCTTATACATGATTCATATCTCATCTTGCTTAATCACAATTCGTTACTTGCACATGTACTTGACCTGACCATAATTGGCTCAACATAGGTAAATCAGGAGTCGTATAATTGCACTTCCTCGGGATAAACCCTCGTGCAAGTCATCCTCCTTAAAACATCATAATATTACCAGAAAATATATATTTTCCCACTTGTGCATCCAAATACAACAATCATGAAAAATCATATCCAATCACCTTCTCGAACCATCGTAAAGCATATTAATAGCCAAGCCCACAATTTGCAACATATACACAATCATCAGCATAAACAAGGTTCATATCGATTAGGGCAAGTCAATAATATCATACAACAATCCAGGGTTCAACATATAGCACAAAAGTTCATACACCCCTAATCATGCCATTCTAGTTCACCTAGATCAATTCTAAGCATCAATATAATTATCGTGATACGACAAACCCGGTATGCCGTGCTAATCCCTCACCAGTTCTGGTCGTTCAAACACCGGTTTAACCTCCCGTACTAAAACGTCAATTTCTCGAACGAACCCTGAATTAAAATCCGAGACCGTCCTAATATCCCCTGCAGTATCCCCGTCAATATTAGTTCTAGGCTCCGGGTCAAATTCTCGATAAAAACACATCAAACCCTGGCCGGAGCTAAATTCAGCGGTTTGGACCCCGGCCTAAATAATAGCTGAAATTCAGGGATTAGAACTAGAGGATTGATTACCTCGCTGCAGGAAGCTCGTATATGAAATTTGGGCTCAATCCGGCTTCTGGATACTCCGAAACCCTAATTTGGCTGATCGGGAATTCAAGAAATTCCTGAACCAAAAACTCGTTTTAAAGCTCTAAATCGATAAATCACGATGAATAGATGAATTAGGCATTACTTACGGGATTTTTGGATCATTAGGGCTCAAGATTGGAGCTGGGGAATTTTTCACAGAAGCCTCCTGTGCGCGCTCTGCTTCTCGTTTACTCTCGTCCCAATTTAATGGTACAGGAACAAGAAATGGAAATAATGGTTAGGGGGAATGTATATATAAATGGGGCGCCGCTTATTGTTAAGTTTTTATATTAATTATATATATATTATATATAATTAACACGTATACTTATCCGATCGATCGATAATCCGATTTTCGCCGAAATACTGTTGAAATGCTCGATTTTAAATCGCGAACTTT